AGTGTTAGACACTCTAGCGATGTTAGCACTAAGGATCCGTAGATTAAGTAGCAGTAAGAAGTTTGTAAACTTAGCTGAAATAAATATGTTCCAACAGACAGTTTTTTAAATCCTAAGCAAAGTTTTCTTAACGATAAGTGAAATTCGAAATTTTGTCGACATTTAGAGCGCACTCTTCTGTACTGAACACACAACTCTAAACTTGTAGAGTATTTTTGGTTATAACTCATCGCGTGTCACCGTGCGGCAATTTTAATTGCGCTTAGCATTTACCCAGGGAATGATTAAAGCTTTACGAGGCTTGGGGCTGGAAGTTCAACACCTAACAAAAAAAAAGCCACCGCATTTTTAGGAGCAACATTTTATCTAATCGGTGATTGCAACGCAACTGCACCCGTGAGTTACTGTGGCGGTGCGTTGGGTTGGCGCAACAATCCATTTCGGCAATACTCTGAAAACTCCTGAAAATTAACAGAGTTGCCCATGCAATAAATTAACAGAGTTGCCCACCCCCTAAAGGAGATGATTCCAAATTTGGCAATCAATTTTCAACTTTAAATGAAATTTAAATGAATTGAAGTGAAATTCAAATGAATTCACAAAGTTATTAATGTAATTTCGCACTTTAGGCAATTTAAAAACATTCATTTACTTAATTGTTTCAGAAATTACAAACACTTTTGTTTCCCTACTAAACTGCTCAACAAAATTTACGTTACGCGCACAAATTTGCACCAACTTCGGAACTGGATAAATTCTGAGTACAGTGAGCGTTAGTGCGTGTTTTTGCAAAAATATATTAGTACTTCAGTGTCACAGGAATCACACAGGAGGTTGCACAAAGAATCACAGATTTTGGGGGCAATTCGGATTTGGATAATTTTATGCAGCCATGTATACGCAATTCTCAAATTGTCTATGAAGTGTTAGCTTCAACATGAGCAAGTTCAACAAGTTATCGTTGAAAGACCAAAAAGTTTATTTTTGCGACTACCTTGTAAACAAAAGGGACGGATGAAAAATTCAAAATCCGTTTCCAGCTATTTGGTTTACCTTTAAACGTTTAACCTCAGTATTGTCCAACTGTGCCTTTCAAAATTTGTTTTCTTCTGAGGTGCTTAATTTTTACTAAATTTTGACGAACAAAAACAAATGGGACTAGAAAAGGCTTCAAAAAGAAACCAAACCGCTTGAAGCAACCATACTGAATGCGCTTCCAAAGTTAGGGAAAATTTTTCTGCGTAACATGCATGTTTTGAGCAGTTTAGTTAATCTTAAATCAGCCAGATATAATTAATAAACACAATGCATCAAAAACAAAGATCAAATACGATTAGTAGATCGTGAACTGACTGAATATTAAAGGTGAATAAACTCTACTAATTTGTTACCCTACACACTCGCTTTCAAAACTTTTTGGATATCGGCATGTCAATGCTTTCACTCCATACAAGGCTTGTGTATATAAATCATAAATGAAAAACTATAGAAATTCGTTAACAAATAAACGGACATGATAAGATATTAAAAGAATTTTATTAGAATTAACCTTTACCGCTTACATTAGACATTGAACCGGCAGAAAATTATCTTTATTTCATGGAAAATCAAATAATGCTGTATCTCCGGAATGACAATTAGCAAAGCTGTTGACCTTAACACAAAACCGTATACGGATTTATCGAAAGTCGCAAAATGGTAACAGTACATTACACAAATCGTTTAACTGATTACTATTTGCATAATTTATTGGAAAATGTGCGGTAATTTGATTAACAATTATCGATCACTGTCTGACACCACTTTTAGATTTTCGAATTGCTTTTTTTGCGACTGCAGATTATTTCCAAGTTAATAAAACTTATGGTGTACATAAGTATATGATATTTAATCAGATGATAGTTTTGATTCATAGGACGTTTTGCTTTGACGTATCAGCGCCATTCCTACTACCAATGGGAAAGTTTATTTTACAAATAAAATTTTGAAATAGAAATATCGCTTTTTGAAAATGCTAGCAAGACATTTTCATTCAACCAGGTATACATTAACAATATTTTTACCAATATTCTGATAAATGGTTCTCAGAAAATGCAAACAGAGCTACGGACTGGCTAGCTCTGAACAATCGACTAAAGTGAATGAAACACAAAGCGCTTGACGCAAACAAGGAATGAGGACAGTGCGGCACAATCCTCATCAACGTGTAGGTAAAACGATCGATTGCCCTTTGTTGAAGTTGATCTACAAGAACTAATTCGAAAATTTAATCGTTGCGTTGAAGCTCTAATATGGATCTATAAGATGTCAAAATATCTGGGAAAATACACTTTAACTGTTAATCGGTACTCTCAGGCTAAAATAATGGATTGAATGGTGGTAATGGTTGAACTTCTGCAATCGCAATATACATGTTATATCAAGTCTACAATCAACGTCACTTCTAAATATGCTACTACGAGACTAAGTGCCTACAACAATGTATTCAACAAAGAGCCATTGCATCCCCAAGCTCAGCCAAGCGTCATCCAGCCATGATCCCATGATCCTGACCCATTGACCCAGTCATGATTTTCGTCAACCAGTATTTCTAACCAACAAAGAGCTGTCCCATTTTAAATACAATGTAACAGGAATAGTACATTGCAACAGTACTTTTGCACACGACTTTAATATTGCTGACCAATCATTTTAATAGTATAAAAAGGTAGACAGGTCCAGTAACAAACGTTCACAATTTTAATAGACTTAAGAGTAATCAGTCGTAATTCCTGTTCCATTTCTAAATATTCTAAGTGTGAATATTATAAAGAGTTTAAATAAATAAAGCGTTTTTTTTTTATATTATATTTGCGTATCAAATATAACATACATTAGGATAAACATTATTTTATCTGCAATATTTAATTTTATACTTTCTATGTGGCGGAGCAGTCTTGGCGTCATCGATAGCTTAGCAATTTAAATTGATACCACTTAAACTGTATTTCACTGTCAACTATGCAAAGTTTAGCTATATAGTATATAGATAGTGTTTAGCTTTTGAGAGTTTTCTTAAACTTCCAAAAGGCGATTAACACACTTTCTGGTTTTCGTAGACTAGATGCGATATGTGCTAATCTCCAAGCTCTCAAAGAATGCAGAATATATCACAGGTACACTCAAGTTGTATATGATATATAAACATGCAACAACGACTGTAAGACGAGAGGTACGACAAGGAAACACTTTATCACCAAAACTATTCACAGCGGTTTTAGAATACGGTTCTAAAAAACTAAATTGGGATAACAAAGGTATTACAATAGATGAAGAACAACTAACTAATCCCTGATTCGCGGATGATATAATGTTGATTGCGGATCATCTAAGGAATTGTAAGTGAATTAGGAGATATGCTGCAACAACTACAAAACGAAATGGAAGTGGTTGGTCTGAACATAAACTATACCAAAACTAAGGCAATGTCAAACCTAGTACCAACAAGAAATATATCCATAGAGGGAGCACAAGTAGAATAAGTATAAAATTATTCCTATATAATATAATCGTATTAATAAGTAATAATAAAATAAAATCGTGTACCACATATGCAGCGTTTCAAGCTGCATTCCATAAGCTAATGAAAAGTGGGTAGTTCTATTTAAAAAAATACACTTTGGTCTTGCCCCGCTATTCTGAGACCCCAGTATCATATAAAATGTGCGCACTTTATGCGTCAACAACTTTTATATGAAACTATTTTTTCGAAAGTTCAACACCATCGGAAATAATGGAGTCTATCGCACTACAAAACCACCCTGTATGTATTTCAATTTTGGTAATTGCAAGCATTATATTCATATGATAAACTCTGACTGTTGATCACAGTTGAAGGCACCCGCACGAAAGTAGTCAACCATCACTAGGCTGAACCTTCTACCAACAACCCAAAGGTCATTCCCAAATATTTTCACTTGTGTATGTATACATATTTAAATACAATAGATAACATTTTATGTATTCGGGTGAAGCAACTGACAAAAACCCAGTAACTGCTGGAGTAATTTGCAGAACTCGGTCATAACTGAGTATATTGCGTTCCATTCGATTGTACTAAGATCTATCAATCAAACATTTAATACCCATGTAAGTACCATATAACACGCATGAACTAAAAGTACTTAATCCTTTGATAATCCTTGATAAATACTTTGATGCCCGCTATTGATGGTTTAAAATTTTGTTTGGTGCCTTACCTGAAATAAGCTGGCTGTTAGGTCTTCCAATTCTGCTTCCACATCCTGTCTTATCCTGTTCACACGAGCCAGTTCATCATCTTTGATTTGCAACTGCCGACTGGCTTGCTTCAATTCGTCCTAAACGAAAAAGCATGAACTATTAGATGATAATCATTAAATACTGAAAAATTCAAATATATTGAAACGATATGGCTCCAAGCTTTTAAGGCCTAATATGAAAACGGAACTGAACAGGGGGAAATCCATATTAGAAAAGCTAATATCATGGTACCTAATGAAATACAAAGTTTACAGGTAAGTTTGTCGTCACAGACGATTTCTTCGCTTTTACAAGCATTTGATCCTTAATTTGAAAGCAGAACCCAACCACAATTTGTAGTGACAATGAGTGCAAGCTCAAGTCAATTAATCAAGACGCAAACGAGAAATTAGCAATGAGCAAACTACAAAAACACATTTTCATAATGATTTTCTAACAAAAATATTTTTATATTTTAAGAAATAGTATTTCTGCAATATTTATACAGAAATAAAAATAATGTGCTACGCTGATGATGCAGTGATAGTCTCCGAGGTTGAAGACAACCTACAAAGACTCCTATATAAGTTCGAAAAAACTATACATAAATATAAAATGGAAATATCTACCCGGAAAACACAATCACTCACTATATCCAAAGAGCCCCGAAGATGCAAACTCGCCGTTTACAATCAAAGTGTAGAACAGGTGATGACCTTTAAATATCTTGAAGCAAACATCACGAGTAACAGGAATCTAAAGGAGACAGGAATCTACTTACGAGACATCATCTGGAGAAACAAGCACATGAGTATCGGGAGTAAAGTCAGAATCTACAAAACGTGCGTGAGACCAGTGATGACATACGCCGCAGAAACAAGAGCGGAAAACACAACAACCAAACGCTTGATAAGAACAACAGAAATGCGAGTCCTAAGATCCATAACAGGAAACACACTATACGATATGAAAAGGAGTGAGGAAATTAGAGATACCTGTAAGGTTTCGGATGTTGTAAGATGGACCAGAGCAAGGAGAAGAGCGTGTAGAGACCATGTAGAGAGAATGGCCGACGACCGAATGGCAAAAATCGCCAAAGACCAAAAACCTAACA